GGTTTAGGGCTTAGGGTTTTAGGCTCAGGGCTTCGTAACTTAGTGTGTATGGGGCTGTGGGTTCAGTGCTTGGGCTTCGCGTGTAGGATGTAGAGGTTAGGCCTTTGTAACTTGGGGGCCAACAGCTCACAGGGTGTGGCAGGGTTGCTTGGGGCCTACAGTAGGAAGTAGACAAACAAGGCTCCGGATTTATGGTACCCTAAACCCTAAACCCATAAATCCCCAAACCCTAAACCCATAAAGCCCTAAACTCTAAACCCATAAATCTCTAAACTAGATCTAAACCCTGGAGAGTGTCCAAGTTATTGGATTTCGCGAGTTGTTTGGACAATCATCTGCGCTGGAGCTTATACTTCTAATAAATGAAGTAGAGAGCACTGGAGCTTAAAATAACCACAGTAAACAGCAGAACTCAAGAAGTACTTCTTCTTGTGCTGCCACAGCGGCATAATGCTTTTTAAAGCATCCTGCAGTACGCAAAACTGCTCCATGTTTGGATCCGGATGAGAGGAGCCCGCCCACTGATGTGATACAAACATGGCATTGCCTTGGCTCTCGTCGAAGGAGTTCAAGGACCCATTCGCCAGTAGCGTCTCATGTGGGACGAGTTCTTTCCTGGGTTGTAGCTTTGGGGCCCTGAAAAGCATTTATAGATAGGTACCTCTACAGAAACCATAAGGGAAATTTTCATTTTCCCAAGTTACCACCTAGTTTCATGCTAACTACGACATCGGCAGCCACCACGTACATCTCGAAGGAATGCGATGGGCTTGTTCTCAGTTCCCGACCTTCCCCAGCCAGGAGATTCTGTGCAAGCCGCTCCAGTGGAGTGGCTTCATCCGTTGCACATACATGCCACGACATGGCAGCTAAGCAAAATCTTTTCAGTCAGTCTGACTGAAGACTATGTGCAGCTGGATGGTGAACCTTGAGACCTGGCAATGGCGCGACGTAGAGCTGAGAGAAACCATGAAAGCAGGATCGAGCATCTACTCGCATGCACCGTCACGATTCTAGATTCTAGACCGTGCATATGGAATCCTGGGTCTGCCAACATGCTTGGGACTGCGAGAACTCCTGCGACCCTTGTTTAAGCTGGGTGGCAGGATCCGGCCATGATGTCGTGGAGCACTGTTCGGCCTTAGGCTGAAGCATTACCTGTGACGAGGGTCCTAACATCATCGGCAACAGCGCAAGTGCCCGTGTCACAAGCAACACCAGAATGATCGGCAAGAGTCGTGGTAGTGGCTGCAAAAGCAGCAGTCTATATGCCATCACACCGTCGTCGTGCAGTCGTGGTTGTCGGTGTTTGCATCGCCACAGTTGCTTTCAGCACCAACAACAACAATGACAAGAACGACAACAAAGTATAAACAAGACCCGCAACACCACCGCCACCGCCACGGTCGCCACCGCCGACAACAACCGCAGACGCAGTCGCGTTGCACACTGGCTCGACCAATGCGCCTCAGCTAACCAAAACAAGGGCGTGCAGTACTGGCCACAAGAGCGTCATCCTCATGTTTGTTTATCATCGTCATCGCGATCAGCCGTAGCCCCATTGTTGCCATCCGGCATGTGCCTCGTGTTGAATAGCAGCTGAATGGCCAACTGGCCATGCACTGGATTCATTGTGGATTCATTGTGGATCGTTGTGCGTAAAGCAGCACTAGTCAGTCTTGACATGAAGAAATCTCCGAAGAAGGCGATCCTAGTCCCAGCAAGAAGACAGGCCGACGACGCCGACGATGTCGACACACTGTCGATGCTGACAACGACGACGACGACACTCCTGCCCTTGTCTCCCAATCCAGCTTCACCAGCATGGTGTTCGCATGCCTCCCCCCCCCCTGCGCTTCTGTCCTTGAACCCGTTGCTTCTGGCCCCTGACAGTCGCGCGGTTGGCCGAGGAGCATCAAAATAACAAGCAATCTTAGGATGATAACGTATGTGCGAACTGATCTTCAAAAATACCCTAAACCGTAAACGGTCCTAGACCAGACTCCAGAGATCGAGGCGCCTTTTATTTTGGTTTGAGACGCCAGGATGGTTCCAGGCCCACCTGGGAAATCAAGTCCTCGGAACGCTGCTTCGGGGTTTGCTTTAGCACATTATTCAGAGTCGAGGGCTGTTGGGCGTACGACTACCTGTATCCCCAAACCCTTCGAAATAGCAGGCTATGGCCCGTTAATATAGGATCTAACCAGTAGAACGGTAGGGTTTTGGATGCCCAGGTAAGGCTGAAGGATGGTCTACGGTAATGTAGGGGCCATAATACTTGTATTAGAGTAGGGTTTTGGGGGGCCCATTATACTATATTCTATAACACGGAAACCCCCCCAAAAAATTGACAGTTAGTTAAGCCCTAAACCCTAAACCCCTAAACCCTGAACCCTAACCCCTATAGTATACGCTTGCGGGAGGCCTGGCCTTCCATTCAGAATCGACCACTTTGCGATTCAATCAGGCTGGGGGTTCGGAGCTTTCTGCATGTGGGAATGGTACTGTGGGATCTGGTATTTGCTGTTTGTTTAGGGTTTAGGGTCTTGTATCTTATCTTTGTTTAGGCTTAGGGTTTGGGGTTTAGGGTCGTACAAGCTTTTGAAGGAGGATTTAGGGTTTAGCGGTCTTGCAAGCTTTTGAAGGCATTCGTGAGGTTGTACCCACTGTGCACACAACTGAACAGGCAGTGCCACACGCCATGGAACCAGAAGCAGAAAGCCTGGACGCTCCCATGCCGTGTGTACTTGCATGCCCCTACGACACCGCACCGGACCTTTTCCAAACGCGACGCAGCCCGCCGCTAGGGTCAAGGTTATGGGGACATCTCAATTACGGCACATATGATTAGACAAGGCCCCAAACCCCAAAAAATGAAATACATGAAGGATGCACCGAGCCTCCTGCTTCGGTTTGTATCTTCCTGGTGGTTCCTTTACTGAAGTGGTGATTGTTCCTGACTTCTGAGGCAGACCCTAAACCCTAAACTTTCCTAAACCGAAGCTTAGGTTCATGGCTCGTCCCTCATCGCTGCCAAGTCTCTCCGAGCATGTTGCTGGAGTGCACATCATGCCACTGATACCACCTACCGTGAAGTTTAGGGTTAGGCTTAGGGTTTAGGGTTTAGGGTTTCAAGAGGTTTAGGGTTTAGTTTAGGGCTTAGAGGGCTTAGGGATTAAATACCAGCTACCATAAGGATTAGAGCTTCGGGTTAAGATACCACCTAAACCAGGAGGAGGATTCGGGTTTAATGTAGGGGCCTTAATAGTTCGAATAGGGTTTTGGGCTCCGTGATAGTATTATGATAATACGGAACCCTAACAGTAGTATTAGTATTGGTAAATATTTAGGTTTCTATATTTGGGTAGTTCTCTAAATTAGGGTCCCTTTTGGGGTCCTTTTTATAAGGGTGCCGTACTATATTGGGGACCTAAAACGGGACTCTAATTTAGAGAACTACCTATTTGGGTGCTTTGGCTTACTTTTGAGCTGCCCTGCAGCCCGCTCTCGATGAGCAGCCCGGAGAGGGTTTCGCACCCAATCCAGGGTTTAGGGTTTAGGGTTTAGGGTTTAGGGTTTAGGGTTGCCGGGGTCTCTTGTTGGATATCTAAGGACTGGAACTTCAGGGTTCAGAAAGCCCGACACGGTTTGGGTTTAGGGCACCGAAGTTTGCTGCCGCCAGCTACCGCCTCGGGGCCCAGGGTTTAGGTTCAGGGCCTGGCACACATCAAATCAGACCAGCAACCCAGAGATATACCAGCAATTTCCTCAATCCTGCCCTCCGTGATCCCTGGCCCCAGCCCTCAAGCCATCAATCAAGGGACATCCTGAACCCTAAACCCTAAACCCTAAACCCTAAACCCTAAGTCACTGTGCCTTTTCAGCTTGGGCTGGGGGCGGGCTGGGGGCCCGGACTCCCTCATGAAAGAACAAGCCAAGCTTCACAAAGGCTTGGGTAATGTAGGGGCCTTAATCACTAGAATAGGATTTGGGGGGTATATTATATAAGTATAGTAATGAACCCCCAAACCCTATTCTAATTGTAAAGGCCCCTCCCTACATTAAGCGTGCAGGGTTTCCAAAACCATTCGCCCTAATAAACATCGCCCATCTTAGCGCTCGAAGTGATAAGGAGCCCGACATAAAACGTGGGAACATGCAACTCTTAAACATGAAAGTCTGCTTCCTAAAATACAGAACTTGTTATTTCGGGTTGTTACAGGAAGGATGCTGCTGTCCTTCGAATTGGGGTTCAGGGTTCTGTATAAGAGTCCTCAAATTTGTTGCCCCTATGTTCTGACACTCCTGGAAACTGGTGAGTTGGGCGAGCCTTTGGGCAAGTCGCTTGATGCCCTTCTTCCTGGGCAGCATCGGAAACCAATCAGTCGATGAACATGAAGACGCACCCGACACAAGACGTTGGCACAAGAGGTCCAAATCGCTGGACAAGAAGAGGCGGACAAACTATGACTTTCATCATGATATGAGTGATTCTCTAAATTAGGGTCCCTGTTTATGTCCCCAACATAGTATGGCACCCTTATAATAAAGGACCCTAAAAGGGAACTTCATTTCGAGAACTACCCACGTGAAAAAACGAAACCAAAGGTGACACCATCGCGATCTGAATGCTCTGTGGACTGCAGACTCAACCATGACCCCGAGCCTGACAATCTTCCGGCAGGATTGACTATGCCACTTTCCCCCTTCAGGATTGACTACCTCTATGTCAGGAAGTTCGAGTCTAGAAGCCAGTAGCACACCGATATCCTGATGTAATCAGTGGTGCTCGGGACTTGCCGCCACAAATATCAAGCTGAACTCGCCACTGAGGTTACGGAAGGTGGATGTAGTGGTGAAGCAGCTTGGAAGAGCCTTTAACCCTAAACACTACACCCTAAACATTAAGTTCAAAATCCTAAACCCTAAACACTAGATCCTAAATCCTAAACCCTAGACCCTAAGCCTTAAACTGAAACCCTAAACAAAACGGCTACTGCCCGACCATGATCCGAAAAAATCTCGCCAAGCTGACATCGAGAGGGTTGAGGCCTTCGTGAAAATTTACGCGGTCACAGCTCCAAGGCCACAGGGTTCAGGGTTTAAGGTTTAGGGGTTTAGGGTTTAAGGTTTAGGGTTGAGGGTTTAGGGTTTGTTTAGGGTTCAGGGTCTCGAAGGCCACATGACATAGGGGGCGTAAAAATTAGAATAGGTTTTTTTTTTGGGGGGGGGGAAATGATAACAACTTGATAATCAGTAACGGTAAGTATTTAGGCCCCGATATTACTCCAAAATCCCTTAGACTGGAGAATCTCATATCGCCAACCCTCAACCCCTGTGATATATAAAGATCAGGCCCAGTCGCACGGGACAGGAGCCGTGCAGAGAATGCGGCACGATCTCAGTCGTGGGTTTCGGAAGAAGGGAGTCGAGGAACGAGCTGAGTTTAGGCCTCGAATCCCATAGCCGGACCCTATAAGCCCTCAACCCTAAAACCCTAAAGCCCTAAACCCTAGACCCTAAACCCTATAAGCCCTCAACCCTAAACCCCAAAGCCCCAAAGCCATGGCTTCGGAGAGCTAAGAGGCTCGATAAGCATGGACTTGCATGCCCTTCTGCATTGCGTCTGTGCAGTCAGGCCATGCACTCATCTTTGAGGCCTGAACCGCTTAGGGTTTAGGGTTTAGGGCCACATGTGGCCCTCGAAAATAAAGCCACCTGGCCCTATGTGGTCTGAGCCAAGCTGTGAGAAGCCTGAAACTTTCTGGACCCTTTTTGCAAGCCATGCACTCCAAACTCAGCCCCTAAGCCCAAAAGATTTCAACGCGATCCCCGAACTCTCAAAGTGCAGATCTGAGAACTAAACCCCTGAACGCCTAAACCCTAAACCCCTAAACTTCTAAAACCCCTAAACCCCTAAACCCTAAAACTCCTAAACCCTTACACCCCAAACCCCTAAACCTCTAAAACCCCTAAAACCCCTAAAACCCCAAACCCCATAAACTCCTAGCCCCTAAACCCCGTAACCCCTAAACCCTTAAGCCTCTAAAACCTAACCCCTAAACCCTTACGCCTCTAAAACCCCAAAGTCGGATGAACTCCACAAGCCCGAAACGCCGTCGCAGCTCAGCCTCGCACGAGCCGGCCCATCAAGTCATGGCTACGGAAAACCACCTCGGGGTTTAGGGTTTAGGGCTTAGATAATTACCAATATTATTTTGGGGGCCTCCTCAGTACAATTCTAGTATACCGAGCCCCCAAAACCCTATTCTAATTACTAAGGCCCCCATAATAAATAATCCAGCACCTAAGTAGGCCCGTCCTGGGTTTAGGCTTTGGTTTAGGGCCTGGACTTCAATTTGTATAAGCCCTAGACCCTATAGCCTGAATCCTCTACACTAAACCCAAAGCCCTATTCCCAAAGCCATATAAGATACCAGATACAATCATAAACCCCATAATATATACTAAGCTCGAAACCCTGACTTGAAGACCACCCCGGAGCAGAGCGAAATCCTAAACCCCAGGTCATCCAAAGATAGGGGCCGTAATCATTAGAATAGGATTTCTATGAGGGTTCCTTTTCGGTTTGATCATGGTCATTATGGGAACATGTTCTTGAAGTAGGTGATGCTTTAACTATCCTTATGTGATCGATCTTGCAACTCAAGCCCCAAACCATAAAAAAACGCCGAAAGCAAACTAGTATAGGGGCTTTAATAATTACATTTTTTGGAGGTTCCCTATTATGACTATACTATAAAGGACCCTACAACCCTAAACCCTTAACCCTAGGACCCCACAACCCTATAAAAACTATCAAGGCCCCTTATCTTATAGAACCCTTGTAGTAGCCCATATAGAACCCTTTCAAGGAGCCCCTTAAACGACCCCCCCACAACCCTATACCAATTATTAAGGCCCCCTCTATTACAGGAAGACACAGATTGGCGTTGACGCAGCTCTTCCAGGCTCTGGAGCGCCTATAGATTCGACGGCTTGGTGGAGCCCAAACCAAACAAAATTCCTAATTCGGGCTTAGAGTTTGGGGTTTAGGGTCTTGGAACCTGAATAATAAGGACCAGAACCATGAAAAAAAGAAGAACCACTAGTAATCATAATGATCATAACAACAGTAAGAACTATAACACTAGCCTGCCAATGACCAGAATAACAACACAAAAGTGCAAGTCACAAGAATAATGCTAAACATGGCACTGGTAAAAAAAAATCATAATGGAAAAATTACAACTATACAGCAATACTGATCATAATAATGATGATGATGACCGTGATGATGATTATCATGATGATGGTGCTGATAGTAATGTTAATGATAACCATAAACAACAATGATAATGATAATAACAGTAGCAAGAATAATTAAAGTGCTATTAATAACTAACAATCATACCAACGACACCTGACCTACTCCAAAACTAACGCCTGAACCCTGGGTCCTCAGCCGCAAATCTCTCAACTAAACCCTAACTCCAAAACCCTAAACCCTAAACCCTATAAACCCTAAACCCCTAAACCCCGGAACCCCTAAACCCTGAACCCTAACGCCTGAACCCTGGCCCCTGACTAGAGACGCCTCAAACTCTTGGTCCCTTATGGCCCGTGTAGGGCATAGGACCTTCCATACAACTCATACGACAACATACCCCCCCCCCCCGCCCCAAAAAACACCGTTCTGATCATTGAGGCGCATGTTTGAGGGCCTCTCGATTAAGTAAAGAGGCCTCAAGCTAGTAACTTGTGTACTAGACGACACCACTCTACCAAATTTAAGGGCCTATTTTAGTTTAGGGTTTAGGGTTTAGGGTTTAGGGTTTAGGGTTTAGGGTTTACAGCTTCAAGAGCCGGGCGGCAAGCCGTCCTTGAGCTGGGCGAATTCGGAGCCCGGCCTCTTCTTCGAGCCCGAGGCTCTAAGGGGGTAAGGGGCCTTTTTTGTTATCTTTTGCTGGGGTTAAGAGCCTTTTTTGTTATCTTTTGCTGGGGTTAAGAGCCTTTTTTTTGTTATCTTTTGCTGGGGTTAAGAGCCCTTTTTTTGTTATCTTCTTCTGGGGATTAGGGTTTAGGGTACTGGGCTTCTTTTCGGGTTTAGGCTGTCTGGTTTGAGGGTTTTGGTCTTGGGGCTTTAGGGTTACTGGGGTTTTTGGAGGGTCTGTGTCTCTTGCAGGCTCTTCCGCGTCCGCCTCAGTGACGTCCGGCTGCCCTGACATCCAATCTCGAAGCGCTGATGCGACACGTGACTCCGAAGCGCGAGACGGCTGGTGGTGGAATTTGACGTTTCTGGGCAGCTGGGGCTGGCCTTGTGCCCAAATCATCTGGCCAGCAAGCCTAAAGAGCTTATCAGAAATCTCAGGATAGAAACCCTAATCCCTAAACCCTGAACCGTCCGAATGCTCTGGGCCTGGGAATTGAGCTTTGCTGACTTTTTTTCGGGATTTCTGGGACAATACCGCTGGCTAATTTTGGGGTTGAAGGAATTAGGTCTCGAAAGCGGGTTCAGGGTTTCGGGCTCCGACAATTCAGGATGTTGGCTGAGTGCTTAGAGGGTTCAACTCTTGGGGGAATCGACGTGGGCTACAAAAAAGGCCACCAAGGTGTAGTTGAGGCATCGGTAGCTGGGATCTAGGAGTAGTTATCACATACTTGGGACCATGTCGGTTTTGGGGTAGGGCTTTGGATGTAGATATCGTGCTGCTAAGCTTTGCCTTATCTTGCTATGCTAGACTAGACTAGACTAGACTAGACTAGACTAGACTAGACTAGACTAGACTAGACTAGACTAGACTAGACTAGACTAGACCAGACCAGACTAGACTAGACTAGACTAGACTAGACTAGACTAGACTAGACTAGACTAGACTAGACTAGACCAGATTAGACTAGACTAGACTAGACCAGACTAGACTAGACTAGACTAGACTAGACTAGACTAGACTAGACTAGACTAGACTAGACTAGACTAGACTAGACTAGACTAGACTAGACTAGACTAGACTAGACTAGACTAGACTGCATTACATTACATGGCATTACTTTGCAGATGCGCAGACTAGCTCATGATACGAACAGACTAACTGTTTCCTGACTGCATAGATTCCGCACGTCAAGCTGAAGCAACACGCACAAGAGAAGTCGCAAACCTTCATCCTCCGGAACCATGAAACCCCAAAGTCCTCGAGCCCCGACCCCTGCGACGCCTTGCAAACATCCTGCAACCGTGGGAGTTCGCCTCGATGTCAGCAGGCAAGATTCAAACAGGCTCATCTTACAGAAGTTAACTTCACTCCACATCGCTCTTATTGTATCACTCCATCCCAGGCTTCCCTGCTTCTGGTATGCCAACAGCCGAGTGTGAGTGTCGCTTTAAACGTACGTTAGGACTAAACACGCTGCGGCCACCGAGCCCCATCGCCAAAGGCTATACTGTCAAAGACCTCGACCCAGATCTGCAGGGATCTGCTTTGACAGGCAACTCTCAAATGTCTAAATCCATACATGTCTCAGTTGCTATCTCTTTGTGCGGGTGTGCATGAGTGCATGCATGCGTGTGCGAGTGCATGTACATACCCTAAACCCTAAACCCTAAACCCTAAACCCTAAACCCTAAACCCTAAACCCTAAACCCTAAACCCTATGACCCTATGTATGCAAACATGGACGTGGCTTCACTTGCTTGGTCAACTCTTCGGCTCTTGGTGCACATCCACGTATTCATACGTTGACTGTAACTTGCAAACCTTGTTTTATGTGCATATGTATGTATACATATATATATATATACATAAATAAATCAATAAGTAGAAATATAAATATAAATATAAATATAAACATAAACATAAATATAAATATATATATATATATATTCACACATATACACACAGACACATGTGTCGACACAGACATATACAGTATCAGTATCACACACAAAAAGGAAACGAGACTTTGTGAAGGTTCACAAGAGTCTGGTTTGCCATACTGCATCAAACTATGAGAGTTTAAGCAAACACTGCGAGCCATGACCAATGCAGAACGGACGAGTATGTCCAGTTGCTTTCACATATAATCACATCATGTAGGGGCCTTGATAATTAGAACGAGATTTAAAGGGCTCCGTATTAGACGTAATCATAGTATAAAGAATGTCCCAAAACCCCATTCCAATTATTAAGGCCCCTGTATTAGATCTATTGACGGTCACGTGCTGGTGGATTTTTGCACAAACAAAGCAATAACGTCTGGTAGCTCGTATCACATACGGTACGGTTGTGTGCATGTGTGTTCGAGCCTAAATGCACATGTCCTTGCTGATATACCCTGGATGGCTCGGCTACAGGAACAGTAGAACTGCGAATGCGTGTTTGAGCCTTCAAGCACCGCATCCATCCGTCAAACCTACTCAGCTTTTCAAAACTCCGTCACCTGCGAAGCCCTGGAGCTGTGACTCTACAGATCTCTGCAGCCTACAGCCGGCTTGAACAGACTTCTTCAAGGGAGTCGAGTGGTAGAGGTACAAGCTCAACCGCCGAAGTCGAACCCTTGCAAGATGTGGTATTCCTCTAAATAACCATAACAAGAGGAAGAACACAGAAGAATAAGAATAATAAATAACAATAATAATAATAATACACGGGACGATAACCCAAGGATCCACAAGTTACTTTCCATCAGGACCGGGCGCCCAAAGCCAGAATCTCCTTTGCATCGCTACGCGGAGCGCCTGGAGCATGGCTTCTTGGAGGGTCGGGAGACTTAGTAAGTATAGTAATAAGTAGACTTATAAGTACCCTAAAAGGGACCCGAATTGGGGTTATAGTACTTATAAGTCTATAAATAACCATTTACTAAGTCCCCCGACTCTCCAAGTTCAGGCTTCAAATTCGAGGGAGTTCAAGGCCCCCTTGGGGGCCTTTTAGCCTAAAACCGAAACCCCTTAGCCTTAAACCCTAAACCCAAAAGCGCCTGAATACTACGGGGTTGATGATGTAAATCCTGCATTATCCATAATAAGGAGTATGCCATAATTCCCATGTTTTAGGGTCCTTGATAAGGTAATGCAGGAGTTTCATATCATCAAAAGTATTAACCTACGGAGGCTCTCAACCGAGACTAAACCAACGAAGAAGCCGTCAAACAAGATCAGGTGAGTTGCCAGGACACAACGAAACAACAAGAGTTCCTTCAGGGCTCCTCAAGGGCCCATAAACAAGGTTTTTCTGGCCGGAATATTTTTAATATTTCGTCCTGGGTGCAAAAGAATCGTACTATCAATAAGACACCAACATGGTGGTTTCCGAAAATAGGGGACCCTAATATAGTACCCCAAATTATAGGATCCTTATTATAAGGACCCCCAAATAAGGTCCCCCCCCCTATTTTCGGAAACCCCCACATAGGTTTAAGGCTTGCTGGGGCGCCTTTGGCTCCCAGATGCTCTGCCCCAGGAACCAGATCCTCCACCCAGGGGAAGATGAGCTCGCCACCTTCTTCCGGCTCCTGGGGCCGAGACCCCCATTTCGGGGGCCGAAAAGCAATCTGTCCGGGCATTCTAAAGGCCATGCTGGGGTTTAGGGGTTTAGGGGTTTAGGGTTTAGGCTTTTGCTTAGGGGACTGTGGGAGGGGTTTAGGCAGTAGTCATGCCAAGCGCACAGCACCGTGACAGATACTGCCATGAGGCTGCACCAAACCCTAAACCCTCAACCTTGCCAAATCTTCAACCTTGCAGCCTCAGACTTCTGTCCTCAGCAACCGTTCCCCAAAACCCACTACATCCCACTACTAAAGGGGTCTTAATGATTAGACTAGGGTGTGGGGTCAATCGTATATTTATAAACGGACTATAAGGGGAAAATCTTGCCGAATTTTTCAGGCTTCTAGGCTCTAGATTCTCTAGATGGGGGTTTCCGGAACTAGCGGACCCTAATATGGTACCCTAAATAGTAGGATCCTTATTGTAAGGACCCCCAAACACGGTACCCCTTATTTTCGGAAACCCCCAGATGTCACCAAGCATCCTCCAAGAAAAGGATCGCTGTGAGGGTCCGAGCTGCCTCTGTAGCTTCTGGGCTGCTGGGATGTACTTGGAGGCCCAGGGGACTTAGTAAGTCGGTTATAAGTAGGGATATACTTGGGGCAACTCCATTTAGGGTACTTATACCTCTACTATAACCTACTTACTAAGTCCCCTGGGCCTCCAAGTAGGGTTCATGCAGGTTCATGCAGGGTCTATACGAGGGCTTGGCTCAAAACGTCGCAGCGGTGTGCGAATCACGAGGATTATGTGCTCATTCTGGAGGCGCCTTCTGGTTCGAACAGGGTTTGGGGGGTGCTTTATAGTATAATTCTAACGAGGAACCTTAGAGCAGAATTTTGCATGGCAAGGAGGTCAGGAGAGCAGCAACAACAGGTTCGGAATCATGCTCTCACATCAGCGACCCAAGCGACTGATGTCCCCAGCGCGCTGGGGGCTCGAAGGCAGAAGATGCACTACTGAAGCTGTCTGGACCCCTAAACCCTAAAAGCCCTA